AATTTGACAGTGTGGCAGTGTTGCCAACTCTCGCGCCGAAAGCTAGCCAAATGCCATCTTTTAAGTAGCCAGAATAGCTAAGGAGGGTAAAAAGGCTAAAAAAGCTAAAGTTAATGCCAAAGTTTATATAAATTCCATTTCTTGCAATATATTTGAGTTTCAATGCATAAGATTAAATCATATTAGCAAGACAAATTAGACAGTAGCCATCATATTTTATTAAAATATATTTCTTTAAAATATTTAGCACTAGAAAACTCGTTTGGATACATAATAGCTGGACTGGCAGCACTGTTGAAGAAATATACCAAAAGTCAGGGCGCAAACCAAAATTAAACGTTGTTCAACACTCTTATCTCAGACTCAAACCACCAATGTAGCCAGACTTTTAAAAACTTTTTAATATTCAAACTTTTTTAAACAGCTGGCAACCCTTAAACCATGTGGCGGTTCTTTTGAATACGTAGAACATTTATTTATATTTTATATTTGCAATGCTCTTGGAAGACCCAAGTTTCCTTAAATTAGTCAAAAGGTAGAATATCTCCCGGGACCTACCTAGATTTCCCCCATAGGCCAAATCATGTGGGTAAATGCGAGATGAACCCTATAAAAACGTTTAAAGGACTGCACATGTGTATTACAATTCACCCAACCACAATTTCACCCCTAACCCCTCGCCATCCTCACACCCCCCATTGCCTTTGACTGCATCCTGTGGGAATTTTTCGGCACTGCACATGAAAAGCGGCGTTTGAATAATAAAGAAAAGAAAGCACGAAAAACAGGGGAAATTCAGCCAAGACGCAAAGGTGTAGGGCAACTTTTCGCTTTGAATATTTAAGTGGCGCTATGGCAGCGGCAGTGGGAAAGTAAAATAAGCAGAAGGCTGCTGAGAAAAGCCAACCGCAGCTAACACAATTTTTCGCATACCCCTTGCCGGAATTGTGCGGAAATTTGATTTAATGTCTGCGATTGTGAGCCTTTCCACGGGCTCAAAGTGATTGCGACGAGCCCTTATTTTCCGGGCTGAAAAGATGCCACGGAAATGGGCACTGGCAGATTGTTGGGCTCACCATTGACTTTGTGGGATTGCTTAAAGGTTTCGTAACTAGCAAGGAATGATTGTCTTAAAAAATTAAATGTTTATTTTTTTTTCTAAGAATATTTAAATATAAGAAAGCTTATATATATTTTTGGGAACATGTTGCCCAATTCTGTTTAATTTACTAATTATAAACAATTATTTCTATTAAGATACTTTAACTACGATTGCCCTAAAATATGGGTTATGCTTGGCTTGAAAATATAAATAATAATTATTACAATTTTTCACCGACTTCGAGGGGGCCAAGTGCAAGTTTTACAATTTACAAATTGCTTTTAAATGGGCTGTGAAAAAGTTTTAATGAGTTTTCCACGCAGCCGTCCTACATCTAAGCACTCTGAACATTCCGCCCACCCGCCTTGTCAACGATTTCTGTTTATGCATTTTCATTTTCATTATCATTTTCTTCTTTTTTTCTGTCGACTAGTACTGCCCTCTCGTTTTCCGCTTTCCATTTGTTATTAAGCGAGCGCTTTCCGTTACTTTTTATTCCTTTTTTTCACCAAAAGTTTTCCTTAACAGTGTCACAGTGGGTGGGCGGTGGGCGTGGCACTACATAGAAAATGTTTTTTTTTTGGAAGGAGGAGGGGGAAAGGTTGCTTAATGAAATTATATCAATCGGGCAGATCAGCCACCCCTAAGTCGCTGTGCCTGGCAGCTGGCAAATGACATTTGCTTTTCCAATTGTTCATATTTTCATTAGGCGACATTTGAATTTTCCTCGAATTTAACCTGCAATCGCTTCACTTCAGAATCAGATTTCAGTTCGAGTTCGAGTTTCGCCCCCGCATTGCATGATTCCATTTCTAATTTCGGTCTGGTCAAGAACAGGGCCCCAGAGCAAGTCTCACGTCAAATTAAATCAAGCTGTAATATAAAGAAAATTGAAGCCAAGTCCCCTTTGTGCCATAAAGCACGGACGGCCAAGGAGCCTTCACAGAGGGCGGAATGGGGCTGACCTCGAGGGTAGAAGTGGGTGGTTTCCGCAGCTGATTGGCAATATAACACCAAGGAACCCCAGCATTCAGGGTGGAGTTTAACCCATGTGATAGTTGCTGTGCTTCTTCAGTGAATTGCATGATTAATAATATATTTGTTATGAAGTATTTTCATTACCTTTTTATACAGTCTTCATAAAATTTTTTTAGAGGAATAAAAGTTTTAATAAATACGTATAATATTAACAATTTAACGCTAATTTAATATTTCAAATAATTTACACCATTTTTTTTATTTTTTATGCTAACTTAATTCTATTTAGTACTAGGATTATGTGTTGCCCCAAACCGAGATTAAATGACCCACAGAACATGTGGACAACTGGATGGGGTGGCTAAAATGTCTCGTTGGCCACTTGTAATTGCCAGTAAATTATTTCGTCCTGCCAAAAGGCAACTGCACTGGCCTCATAAATACAACCGCCAAACTAACCGTACCAATTTATAGTCAACACTTAATCTAAGCTGTCAATGTGGATGCAACAGCAGGCGGTTGAGTGGGAAACTAGTGGTATCGTAATTGGCGGGGATTACGACAAAACGTAAAAGTGCAGAACGGCATGTGAATGCGGAAGTTGAGCTCGGAATTGGCCAAAGTGAAGAAGTCGTAAAGTTTTAGTTGCATTCTGCCGTCTTCGCACTCGAATTGGACGCTTAATTTATGTTTCAATTCCAATTAGCCATCGAGGCACGGGCTTTTATGCTACTTCTCTCTCTTTTCGCTTTCGAATACACGGCGAAAAATGGGGTATTTCTTATACAATGTAGTATTACAATTATTTTGGGACTAAGCTTTGGAAATCATAATATTATTTTAATGCAAAGCGATACAAAAATTGTTTGCTGTATTAGTTGTATTCTTTTAAAATCTCACAAAATCTAAAATATGATTTAAGTTAATACAGTGCAATATTTACATATATAAAAAAAATATTTTATATCTTTTGGAATAGACCACAACATTTTTAAGCATAGTCTCAAGAGATGTTTGTAAAATTATAAAAAAATAAAAATGATTATATCAACAATTATTGTATTTTTACCCAAAATGTGACCAGATATTTTCCCTGTGCATTTTGGTAATTGACTTTCGGCCTGGCCCTGACGCGTCATTTGTAATTGTATATCAGCACGAGGAGCCAAGACGAAGGCAGCGTTTATTAGCCATGGCCAAATGCAGCTAATTGAAGTTCAAATTGCGTTGGCGCACGGTTTGAAAAGGCAAAGGAAACCGTTGAAATGTAAGCACTCACATGTGATTCCTGTCGGTCCAATAAAACGTTAAGTTCAGTCAGACGACAATGCAGACGTAAACGAAGACGAATCCACTTAAGGCCAAAACGAAAAAAAAGAAGAAATACAAAATAATGCGAAAGCCAATTCGACACTCAAACACAATCAGCAGAGAAAAACAGAGTCGAGAGCTGGGGGGAAATAAAATCAAGCATAAATGCAATAATACAATTTATGTGCCGAATTTCATAAGGACCATAATGGACACACGGGCACACACTCTTCGGACTCCTTAATCCCCGCAATAAAGATATGGAGCCAACAAAGGTGACTCTCTCAAGTTGGCCCACAATCGCTGTAATCGTAATCACATTTGGCGTCGAGATGTTGACGCTATTTGCGAGTGTGTGTCATTTTCCCTGGCGCAAAAGTTTTCCTCCCACGGAAAAGGCAACATTGTCCCCAACACTTGCCAACCGGACATCCGGTCCATCCATCCATCCATCTCCCCATTCTCCGTATCTTATGGCCAGCTAACAACATTTGCTTGACGTTTGCCAATTGCATTATGACTCAATTGCGAGCTGAACGATTCTACGGACCAGCCAGAAAATCAAAGAGCGGCATTCGCATCAATGGGGCAACTTCAAGTTGAGTGCCGGTCCATTGGAAAGAAACAGAAACGGATACGGAAACAGGGGTCTACAAGGCGAAACTGGAATTCAGATCGATAGAAAATCAGCTGAACATCTATAAACATGTTGAAATTCAAGCAATTAGGAGCTTAATTTATTTTATGATTTTAATTTTAACTGCTAAACTAGCTGTTAAATAATTTTATACAAATTAAAGCGTAAAGCTAGAAGAATTTCTTGTTTTAATTCCGACTCCTTTAAAATGCGATACAAATTTTAGGTTATTATTTTCATTTTTAAAGTATTTTAATAACTATTAAAAGAAATATCTATCTATCTAAACAAGTTTTAAAAATGTATTTTTATAAGTCATACTAAGATCTCTTAAGGTACCTGAATGCGTGTATCATAGATGGGTTAATATGCTTCATTGTTGTCACTCTTTATGCGTAAAGATACAAATATCCACGTTTCCGTGAACCGCAACACTCAAAATGAAAGGCTTGAAGAGCGGATGGGGCAGAAAATGCATTAACACTTTGGCCGCGCCGTTAATGCATCTCCGATGGGCCATAAATTGCGCTGGCCGCAATATGTTTGTGCCACTTGATGGCCCTTCAGCGGTGAATTGTAAGTTGCCATCCAGCCAAGTCGAATCCGAATCCGAAACAGAGACCGAGTCAGAGTCCGTGGAATGTGGAGCAAGTGCGGCAAGTGCACAGACCTTAGCTTATTCCGGGCATTACGCAATGTCGATAGGCCAAGACTGGGTCTCTTTTAACTGGGTCGACGCCACGCCCTTCTTCAGTTTATTTGCCCGCCCCCGCCTTTCGAGGCTGTCACTTGGAGCTGGGCAATTGTAAATTGATTTGCCACGATCGAGGGATAGAGAAATGGATTTCTGAAAGTCACGCAAAGCCAGCCGGCAAAACTGGAAACGAGTTATGGGTAATTGGCATTGCGGTGGTCATGTCTTCTATATATGGCCTAACAATCGACCTATCCAGCACAGTTGTTCCAATTGCTTCCATCGACATGGCTCACATCCAGTTCCTCTGCATCGCCTCCAGTTTGCTTGTCCTCCTGGCTCCCACATGGGCGGGATTAATTGCCCAACCGAGCATTAGCTATGCCGCCGACGAGCACGCGGTGGCCCACACCCAGCAGAATGTGGTGAGGAGCTTCGATGGCACCGTCTCCCACTACGCCAAGTCGGTGGCCACACCCTACTCGCAGGTCCACAAGCAGGACACCCGGATCAGCAACAATGTCTACCAGCCGGCGGTGGCCAAGACCTTCAGCTATGCCCCAGCTCCGGCTCCAGTCTCGATCCCAGCTCCCGTCTACAGCCACAGCACTCACCAGGAGCCATCCCACCTGTTTACCCAGGCATCGCCGGTGTACCACCAGCCTGCTCAGGTCTACCATCAGGCTGATCAATCGGTTTACCACCAGTCTGCTCATGTCCAGACTCCATCGGTCTACCACCAGGCTGCTCCATCGACTTACCACCAGGCTGCTCATGTGGAGACACCCTCGGTCTACCATCAGCCCGCTCAGGTGCAGAGTGCTTCGGTCTACCATCAACCTGCCCATGTGGAGAGTCCTTCGGTGTACCACCAGCCCGCCCACTACAGTCACCAGCCCGCCGTCATCCATTATTCCCCTGCGGAGACCGTCTCCCACATGACCTTCGATGGTTTCGGTACCCACTACGGATTCTAGGTTAAAAAAATGTAGTTTAAAACTTGTTATACTTGTTAAATAAAATGTTGAGCAAAAATCTTTGGTTTTGTCATGATTTCTAAATGTTTTCTATTTTGGTCGCTTCTTAGATTTTCTTTTAGTCACAAGACTGCATTTCTAGATTCCATAGCTTGAGTTATTTGAAACCGATTTAGAAGAGGGATACCTCTTTAAATTTCTGGTTTCATTATCTAATATTCTTCGTGTACATTTTTCTTTTAAAGGAAGGTCAAGCTTTTAAGCCATTTTCATGTTTGATTTTTCCGTAATTCCAATAGCTTTTCGAATGGGAACCCAAAACTGCACTTCTAGATTCCATAACTTGGGTAGTTTGATCCCGATTTTGAATTGTGATACCTCTATGAATTTGTGGTTGAATTCTCTACTAATCTGCATTTAAATATTTCTTGTTAACGGGGGTCGAAATTTTGACCCATTTTTATGTTCGATTTTTCCGTATTTCCAGTGGGTTTCAGAATGGGAACCCAAAACTGCACTTCTACATTCCATAACTTGTGTAATTTGATCCCGATTTTGACGTGTGATAGCTGAAAGAATTTGTGGTGGAATTCTCTAATAATCTGCATTCGAATATTTCTTTTCAACGATGGTCGAAATTTTGACCCATTTTCATGTTCGATTTTTCGGTAATTCCAATAGTATTCAGAATGGGTCCCCAAAACTGGACTTCTAGATTCCATAACTTTGGTAATTTGATCCCGATTTTGAAGTGTGATACCTCTATGAATTTGTGGTTGAATTCTCTAATAATCTGCATTTAAATATTTCTTGTTACCGGGGGTCGAAATTTTGACCCATTTTCAAGTTTGATTTTTCCGTACTTCCAATGGGTTTCAGAATGGGAACCCAAAACTGCACTTCTACATTCCATAACTTTGGTAATTTGATCCCGATTTTGAAGTGCGATACCTCTATGAATTTGTGGTTGAATTCTCTAATAATCTGCATTCGAATATTTCTTTTCAACGAGGGTCGAAATTTTGACCCATTTTCGTGTTTGATTTTTCGGTAATTCCAATGGTATCCAGAATGGGTCCCCAAAACTGGACTTCTAGATTCCATAACTTTGGTAATTTGATCCCGATTTTGAAGTGTGATACCTCTATGAATTTGTGGTTGAATTCTCTAATAATTTGCATTAAAATATTTCTTTTTAACGAGGGTCGAAATTTCGACCCATTTTCATGTTCGATTTTTCCGTATTTCCAATTGCTTTCAGAATGGGACCCCATAACTGGACTTCTAGATTCCATAACTTCGGAAGTTTGAATCCGATTTTGAAGTGTGATACCTCTATGAATTTGTAATGGAAGTCTCTAATAATCTGCATTTTAATATTTCTTTTCAACGAGGGTCGTAATTTTGACCCATTTTCATGATTGATTTTTCCAAATTTCCAATGGTTTTTTAGAATGGAACACCAAAACTGGACTTCTAGATTCCATAACTTAAGGTTTTGTAGTTCGATTTTGACGTGGGATACCTCTATGAGTTTGTGGTTGAATTCTCTAATATTCTGCATTAAAATTGTTCTTTAAATGAGATTCCAATTTTTAACTCTTGGATTATATTTGTTGTTTTAAAGGTTTCCAAAGTCTAATCCTGATATGCAAATTCCTAGAGACTTTATTAATTTAATTGAAAATTTTAAAATTTATTTATAATAACAATGTATTTTAAATCGTTATATTAACATTTGAAGTGTATTACAAGTGTATATGTAATATTAGTTTCTCCATAACCATTTTAGCCATCATGTCCGCTGCATTTGGCCAAAGGCTTGAATTCCTCGATTTACTTGTCCTTACCAGTAAGCAGTTCCTGCTTATCACTCACGTTCGGAGGCAGCGTAAACAAATCATAAAAAATCCACACAAAGTGCACCCTACAAATAGCCCCAAGTAGGACATTAGCTTTGGTCCTTACATCATTCCGTGATCCCTGGTTCTGCGACGGAGGGAGGGGGATGCAGAGGGGTTACGTGATTTGTGCAGCGCAAACTTAAAAATCGGACATGAAAGCTACGTGACTCGCATGGCAACCAAAGGACCCGGGAGCATTTGTAAGGACGAAGGACCATCAACTAGCGTGCCTTATGAACTAATAAGATTTTCGCCATTCTCGTAAATTATGCACATTGACAACTCTAATCGGCAAATTGAAATCAGATTTTTGCAGGCTCATTAATTTTGCAAAAGAAAAGAAAACTCTCGGGAAGCCGAAAGCAAATCGAAAAACTCTCAAACAGCCGGAGTCAATAATCAATTGGTGTCCTCTGCTTTTTTCGTCCTTGATATTTTCTCTAAATGATAGCTTCATTAGCTGGCCATCAAAGTAATGGCCATAATGATTACCAGAATAGGGCCAGCAACTTCTGGAGTGAACTTCTGAATTGAAAAACTGAGCAAAAGGCCACAATTTGCGAAAAAATGAAGCCATAAACTCCGCTTAGTCCGGGATCCTGCAGGACCTCCTGCCATCCACATTCCCATTTCCATCCCCTTCCCTATTTTTTTGGGACCACCGCTTCTGTCCGCCACTTGAGTGCTAAAAGGCGCAATGATAAAATATTTGCCCGACCAAGGCAAGTAAATTTGTTGGCTAAAAAGTTGAAACAGCTAACAGAAAGCAAGAGATGAAGAAAGGCCGAGCCGTTAGTTGTTGTTTTTATTTAGCTGTTGCGGTTAAAGTTTCCTACTTTCCATCGCCAGGACATCGTCCTAGGCGAAGTTGGCAAAATAAAAATGCAAAATGCCCAGTAAGACGTATTTATCAACATAATTACATTTTTAATGGCCCCTTAAACCGCAAAATGGCAAAGCCGCACTGCAAGATAAAGCCATGGCGAAAAAATGCTAGAAAATGGGGAAAACTTGCTTAACCATCTGAATTCTTCGGGTTTCCTTTGCCCTAAAGAATCTTAACTCAATTTGGGTGCCATTACTACATAATTATATTGCATTTTTATTTTATTGGTATAAAAACTGCACTGTTTGTAAAATATATTGTTATTTCTAAAATGTATCATTCGCATGTTTATAATTAGTTTTTGTGTACCTTTGGAAGCAAAAATACAGTTCTGCACGATTTTCCAATCTTTTGTTTACTTTTAATTTTCCTAAATCGGAGAGAAGTTTTCATAAGAGGCGTTTAGAGACCAAGAGCGCTGGGAAAAAAGAGAGCACACTCTTTTTGATTATTACTCTTTATTTTGCACTATCTAAGTTTCAATAGAACTAGTGCAATTCCTAACTCTCCTATAAAACCTGTTTACTTGTCAGTATGATAATTTTTGAAGTACAGAAAAATATAATATTCAATATATTGTTCATAAAAAAATATACATGTATAACTTATTTTCGATGTAATGAGTCGCTTGTAAATTAAAAAAAGTTTTTTAAATTATAAAGTACGAAAAATGATCACTAAAATTGGTTACAGTTTTATACAAATTAAATCCATAATAATGATTTAATTAATGATATAGGGGATAGATCCCTCACTCGGAAAAAAAAATTTATATAAAATATTTATTTCATTCAACATTTTTCGATTTCTACACAATACATTTTTTATACCCCTCACAATAATTTTCTGAATCCGCCACTGGGCTTGGCTTTTATTAACTATCGAAACTTTTTTATGCCATTTATATCATCAATGCATACATTTTTATACGCGTAAGCAAAAATCCCAAAAACTTTTATCTGCAATGGTTTAAGAAAGACTTTGAAATTTCTTTATGCCAGTACGAATTAGCAATATGATGCGAGCAGTGTTTTTATTCTTCGCAGTAACAGCTTCCGCGGATTATTTATATTACAAAAAACCAGATCTGAAATTGCACGACTTCTACACCTACCATGAAATGAAATGGTACCTGGACACCCTTAGTAGCTCCTTCAGCAATATAGAGGTTCAAGAATTGACAAAAACTCACGAGAATAGATCAGTTTATATGGTGAAAATATCTGCCCGACTCGACCATTATTGTCCTGGCCCAAAAAACGTGATTTTACTGGATGCAGCCATCCAAGGAAACGAGTGGATCACAACCACTGTGGCGCTCAAGACGATTCATGAATTGGTGGTAAACTATGGAGTAAATAAAAAGTTATTAGAGCGATTCGACTGGTACATCCTGCCTATGGCTAATCCGGATGGTTACGAATTCTCCCGAAATTCAATTTTTCATCACTGGAAAAAGAATCGCTCTCCGAATGGCCCTTACTTTGGCACCAATCTGAATCGAAACTTCGACACCAAATGCAATAAGTTTAAGAAATGGCAACACTCACCCGGTAGCCAAGAGTTTCCAGGGAGCAAGCCTTTTTCCGAACGCGAATCAAATTATACTGGGCGTCTGATGCAATATCTTATTGCACAAAAACAGCACTTCATCTACATAACTCTGCAGACCAAAAGCAAGCCGTCTATCCTATATCCTTCGCCCCACGAACTGTAAGTAAAGGAATTTATTTATTTTTTTGGGAATGTTTCGTTGAAATGGTCAACATTATTTTTCAAAACTTATTAATCCTAAATTGGAATACATTCTTAGTGGCTAAGTATACCCAAAATTCTTATATGTTATTCTCACACCATCTTTACATTATTTAGGGCGCCCCCGGAAGACGTGCAGATGTTCAGGATGATAGCAGACTATGCCAGTAAAAATGTTTTTCTGGAAACGAGGCTCGTGCATCAGCAACTCCCACCCATTGAATATGAAAGATTTGGTGGTTCCAGTTTGGACTACGCCTACGAACAGGGATTTCCTCTAACTTATGGTCTCGAGGTCTTCGAAGTGGATCAAGTCGAAAAACGTTTCAGAAACTTTATTGCAGATCGGGTCCTTGTGGGGTGGAGTGGAGTGTTTAATCTTGCCAAAGGAGCACTAAAATATAAATGCAATGTTCCTAGGGAAGATAAATGTAGGTGCTTTGAGGAAAAGAATGAAGACGAAAGTCATCCTAAAGGTGATAGGAAATTCGTAGTTCCACAAAATTTTAAATCCGGTTCATCTCCGCTTATCAATGGCAAATCTTTAAGTGCCGCAAACTTGGGTGTTCATTTTAGTAGTATCAGCTTATTGTGGCTGTATTGCATTAGTTTAACATTCATTGGTATATTTTTACTTAATAACTAAAATCGTTATCCAGCGTTCAGTGTTTATAAGAGAGGTAGCTACTCAAGTACGTTCACAGCTAAAAGAGCACACTTTTGATATATCTCTTTATTTAGCATGTCTGTTATAAAATTCAAAAACATTGTATATTGGTTTAGTTAAGACTAGGATGCTACCCACAAAAATAAACACTAATTCTATTATTACTGTTAATATACATAAAAGCGTTATATACCCATTTATGATCCCATCTTTACAAAGAATCCAAAATTCGAAAACATTAATATATTAACATATTAATATTAACATATCTCCAATATATATCCAAAAAGCACTTTAATGACTATTTTTAAGAAGCACACAAATTTCGTAGCAAAAATATTTGTCAAAGTCGGATTAAATGGTTTTCTTCTTAAGTGAATCTAGACGAATTATTGAAACCATCTTATACATTTTGAAAACCATTATAAATGTAATATTATGTATTGTTATATTAAATAAAGTAAGTTTATACAAACACACCATTTATAGTTATGTAGAATTATTTTTTCACTTATGCGTTACTCATCGGCCAATTCAGAGTATTTAGCATGGAAAGGGTATGAGAGGTTTGTAGCCCATATCTATAGATTCTCAGGGAAAGGCTCTCTTAAAGCTTTATAAAACCGTATTGTGATCGGTCAGAGTTAGTGCACTATTCGTTCCGTCTCCGGAAAGATGTGGAGAGTGCTGTGCGCGATCGTCGCTCTCGTGGCGATTGTAAATCCAGTGGCGGTGACGAAAGACATCCGCCGACGGATTCCGGTCGAACTCCAACTGAAACACTACCTCAGTTACAAGGAAGTGATGGAATATCTGGATGAGTTGGCAATCACCTATGCAGATAGGGTTACCATAAAGGATGTGGGTCGAACCTACGAAGGTCGAGCCCTAAAAGTCGTCATGATAACGAACGGTGACGGAAGACCGGGAAAGAGAGTGATATTCATGGATGCCGCTCTCCACTCCCGCGAGTGGATGACACCCGCCGTCGCCCTCCTTGCCATCCGTAAACTGGTGGTGGAGTTCGAGGAGAATTCCGATCTCCTGGCCGATTACGATTGGCACATAATGCCCTTGGCAAATCCAGATGGCTACGAGTACTCCCGCAATACATATAAATATTGGAGAAACACAAGGACTCCGAATGGCGGCAGTTGCTACGGCACCAATCTCAACCGAAACTTTGAAGTGGGATGGGGAGTGGGTTTTCCGGAGCTACGGGATCCCTGTGATGAGAACTACGCGGGTAGTACACCATTCTCCGAGGTGGAGGCACGAACAGTGCGCGACATAATGCTCAATCTGGTGGAAACTAAGAGGGCTCTTATTTATCTTTCTCTGCACACGGCGAACCGCTCAATTTTCTATCCTTGGGTATACGATACGTGAGTTAGGGTTACACCTGTTATAAGTTTAACAAATATTTTAATATTTATTTATTTCGTCTTCAGTTCTCCAGTGCCTAATAATGAAGAACACGATGAAATCGCCAGGTTCGCTGCCGAAAGTATATTTCAAAGTACGGGTACTACTATAAAGCCGAATCAGGGTTCTAAATACGGCGGAACATTTGGTGGCACCAGCCTGGACTATGCATTTTACGTGGGTTTCCCGCTGTCCTTTGTGTTCGAGATGTCGGGAACGGGCCAGGATGATGTGGAGTACAAGTTCTTTCCACGTACCAGAGATATTCGCCACCTTGCTGAAGAGTCGTGGACGGGAATTCGAGCGATGGCCGAGAAGGCTATTGAAAAATATCCACCTTTCAGATCTATTTATTACATAGAGAAATACCAACTTTCCGGAAATGGAGCTTCGCGGAGTTGGGGCTTAAATTACTTAGTTGGAACAGTTGCATTATTTTACTTATATTTCACAAATAATATTTTAAGCTGAGTGTTTTCAATAAGATACTCAAATTTGTATTTTATTTATTGGAGACATACCTGCACAGCCCTTTTTTCCGGATATAATTAAAGTGCAATAAATATCATGTACTTTTGTTTTTAGTGGTTACTAAGGTAAGGTTAGAAAATCCAATGTATTTGGCTTAGTGAACATAGGTCACATACATTGCAAAGATTTTTTAAAAAGATATTGGTATTAACCTCTGTTTTCTTGATTATGCTAAAAGTTTAAATTGCAATAATTTCATATGTGTTACTTGTACATTTACCATACTCACATTTTGTTGTCTTCTTTATTCTCAGGCCATTCTTAAATTATCGGATTCCCTTTGGCAACCTTTAAAAGATTTTAATATCCAGCGGTGGGCCACCCCAACCCTTTATCAGCCAGTCTCTTGCGTTACGCATACGCCTCGTTGTCCGCTTGCTTGCACTCCCTATCAACGTGACTTGGCTGCCTCGCTGGCGTGGAAAGGGCTTTTCGGGGCTGGGGAACCCGCATATCACTCGCATTGTCCGATACATTTCACATGCTGCAATTAACGCAACAAATTGCATTTTTAATATGCAAAATTAATGCGGAAAATCTTTCTGTGCCGCGCAGAGCAACGAACGATGAGCAACAGAAATGAAACGAAAGGCGAGATATGCATATATCCAAGCTTTTTATTTATAAAAGTCATTGTGAAAATTGAAAATCCACATTCGGTCTACAATTAAAAACACTTTTCGTCTGCATGTTTGCACTCGTATTGCTGGGGATATTGTGAGTATTTAAAATAATAAAATGCCATTACAAAGTCAAAGTTGGCTGGCCCAGGAAGTCGGTGTTAATTAGTTTTTTCGAAGCCATCCCTTGGCCAGCTGACGAGTCGTCCAGCCATCTATCTGTCCATCTAGCCCATCCATTCAGGCACTTTCTGCGCGGGAGTTGGGTCAAATGTTTTAATTTCCGCACGAATGTCTCTAGCGGAAATTACTTAAAAAACAAAAAATAAAAAACAAAGTTCATGACCCAGGGCGGAGTGTCAATCGCCTGCAGGGCACCTCGTTATCTTGCCGATGGGTTGGAAATAATTAGTAAAAATACAAGTACCTCATAGAACCACATTGGCTGGCTTAAAATACTCTACCCAGATTAGCGCAATCATCGCTCTTAAGTATCGCTACACACACTTTGTATTACATTTTAATCCGAACCCGATTAGACTTAGTCGTAAGTATAGTATGTCGCTCTCAGATCGCTCGGATCGTTGGAACCGTTCGGATCGGCTTTACTGGAATAATCGGAGATTCAGAGCGCAAAATGTTGCTGTTCCTACTGGTTGTGCTGCTTTTTGCGGTGGGCTGGATCATCCATCTTGGCCAGGCCGATCGTCGGCGGAAAGTGGCCAATTTGCCGGGACCCGTGTGTCCGCCGCTCATCGGAGCCCTTCAACTCATGCTGCGCATGAACCCAAAAAGTAAGACACTAGTAAAAAAAAGTGGAAGTTAAATTATACCATTTCAAAAGATCATACAAATGTTTTCTTTATATTGAAATTTCCGTCTTAATTATAATGAAATCACTTAAATGGTCAGTCTGGCATATCAAAAGTATTCCCAATCAGATGTTCATATAATTGACTGCACGCAAGCCAGAAAGACAAGCTATTCATCTACATGTATACCCATAAAGTTAAAGTTAGATTTCTTTAATTTTTGTTCCCGTTTGACGTGGAATCAGACTTTTTTTTATTTTATCTAGTAGGTACTTTATAATTTGTAAACAAAAAATAATATTTCTTTTCGATTGGGTTTAATTTTTACTTTTTTTTCGAAAACTTATTCATGTTATTTATTGCTTATTGATTCATATCTTAAAGCTTTAAAGCTGTTCGTGACCGCTTCCGTTGTTACACTACTGATAAGAAATTACTAGTATTAATTTTTTTTTATTTTTATTAGGTTGTAAAGCGAACAACATGTCAATGCAAAACGGAATACGATTTTGACTCTTTCTTCTCTTCGGTTTTTATTTTGCTTTATAAAATCGTTGCAATGACTTGAATGTGCATATATTATTTCATTCATATTTACAAAGTAGATTTGAATAGTGCACTGGCTACATAATATTTTAAAATAAATCGACCGGTTCTCTAATAACCGGATTTAAAGTAACAGAGAATAATATAAAGTCTTAAATAGAGCAACGAATATTTAATAAATCGAACAAGTGCACTTGAAAATGTGTGTTAACGGAAAGTTTTGAGTTGCTTAAATAATATCAACATTTTTTATTGGTACCGTAAGTATGGGTTAAGCCAAACACTAAGCAATATTCAAAAAGAGAAAGACCTTATCTTAAGCTAATTATACTGTTTTTTGTATTGAACAAACATAAGAGGCAGATTACTTTGAAATCTACTGCATTATCGCTAAACCATTTATGAATGGTCACTGACCATAAGAAGAATATAATTCTTATCAATGCGAATACCAAATAACAGTGAAAGAAAAACGTGCCATATGTTTCGGCATTTATTTTTTACTTCTATTTTTATTAAAATATATTTTTTAATTTATAAGAACGTTTAAAATTATTATTTAAAATATTATTTTTTGTTTAACCTGAAAAAAACCTTTAATTTATAATCTTTTAGCTTTCTTGAAGTTGGGTCGGGAGTACGTGACCCAATATGGTCACCTCCAGCGAGTTTGGGTGTTCAATCGCCTGCTGATAATGAGTGGCGATGCGGAGTTTAATGAGCAGCTGCTGAGCAGTCAGGAGCATCTGGTGAAGCATCCGGTCTACAAGGTACTTGGTCAGTGGCTGGGAAACGGCTTACTCCTCAGCGATGGAAAAATTTGGTATCAGCGTCGCAAGATCATCACTCCCACGTTCCACTTCTCGATCCTTGAGCAGTTCGTTGAGGTGTTCGATCAGCAGTCCAACATTTGTGTCCAAAGGCTGGCGCAGAAGGCCAATGGCGAGACCTTCGATGTTTACCGGAACATTTGTGCAGCAGCCTTGGATATTATAGCAGAAACAGCCATGGGTACTAAGATATATGCCCAGGCCAACGAAAGCACACCCTATGCAGAGGCAGTCAATGAGTGAGTACTAATGAATTTTAAAAGAATTTTAAAAATATATTTATATTTATTATATATTTTTAGTTGTACTGCCCTGTTGAGCTGGCGATTCATGTCCGTTTACCTGCAGGTGGAGCTGCTGTTTACCCTCACCCATCCTCACCTGAAATGGCGACAAACGCAGCTCATCCGCACAATGCAAGACTTTACCATCAAGGTGATCGAGCAGCGTCGTCAGGCTTTGGAGGATCAGCAAAAGCAGTCCAGGTTGATGAACGCCGCAGATGAAGATGTGGGTTCTAAAAGACGTATGGCTCTATTGGATGTCCTGCTGATGGCCACTGTTGACGGCCGACCTTTGAACAACGATGAAATACGCGAAGAGGTGGACACCTTTATGTTTGAGGGTCACGATACCACCACTAGTGCCTTGTCCTTCTGCCTGCATGAGGTTTCCAGGCACCCAGAAGTGCAGGAAAAGATGCTGGAGGAGATCCTTCGGGTTCTGGGCACCGATCGAAGCCGTCCGGTCAGCATCCGGGATCTCGGAGAGCTCAAATACATGGAGTGCGTCATCAAGGAGTCGCTGAGGATGTATCCACCCGTGCCCATCGTGGGTCGCAAATTGGAGACTGACTTTAAGTACAGTAGGTGTCCTTATAAATAACTTTCTCTATACAAATGCAATATTAAATGATTATCTTCTTACAGCGAATTCTGTCTACGGAGATGGAGTTATCCCAGCGGGCTCAGAGATTATAATTGGAATCTTTGGAGTCCATCGACAAGCAGAGACCTTTTCCAATCCGGATGAGTTCATTCCGGAGCGATACGAAGACGGAACTCGTGTGGCGCCCTTTAAAATGATACCTTTCAGTGCTGGACCCCGAAATTGCATAGGTCAGAAGTTTGCCCAACTGGAGATGAAAATGATGCTGGCCAAGATTGTTAGGGAGTACGAACTCCTACCCATGGGTCAAAGAGTGGAGTGCGTCGTTAACATTGTCCTGCGATCGGATACGGGCTTTCAGCTGGGAATGCGCAAGCGTAATAACACATAAGTATAAGGGGTATTGCAGGGATTTTTATTATTAAACATCTACCGACTGGACTAGTACAGATTCCAATATTTTACATTATGTGTTGTAGAGTATTATCTTAAAAATTAAAGATTTTTTACCTTTTACCAACAAAGAAACTAAAAGTAAGATTCTGTCCTTATTTACTTATATTTGTTGGATTCTAAGGATACTTACTCTTCGAGGATATTGGAATATTCCTTAACGGGTCTTGCACCGCAGGTGATCCTAACCGTTAGCTCCATCACACCAGAAACTACTACTTCCCAGACATCAAAGACTTTTCGATCAGCCCGTTCCACCAACTTTTGATGCAGCTTTTCAGCCTGCTGGCGAAATAATTGCATCAACTGTTCCAAGTTGAAGGCTGAGGCCAGGCAGAAGCATACGAAGGTGGTGGTCAAGATTATGGTTCCAACTGAGCCCAAAGGCTGCCCTCTAGTGTCTATGCTAATCGCACCTTAGCGCAATCGCCTGCTTCTATTTGACCGTTCGAGGGGCCGAGCTAATTTAACGAGGGCCTTACATTTAATTTAATCTTATCGATTTCAAGACCCCCTTGTGGCAGAAAATAAGCCAAGCGAACGTTAAATCTCCGGATAAGTTAAGATAAGTCTACTATAGTGTTCTTGTTGCATTCCGGAATTAAATTCATTTAAGCTTAAATACGGGGTTTCAACAAAGTGTAAGCCGTGTTATATTAATGTTGTAATATGTTGTATGCTTTTATTTTCTTTTTTTAAGAAAATAAATTCTTTACAATGCAAAATGTTTATTAATTCATTCATTCACCTAGCTTGCCAAATTATATTTTGTTCCACAAGCCCCATAAAATTTGTTTGTACCTATAATTGTAATATATTTTGATTACCTGCTTTAGATTTGTGTATACATTTGAAACATGCTATTTATAATCTAAAAATCTTTTAAAGCTTTCTGGGCATTTTTTAAAATTTCGGGAATTTTGTAAAATGTTGCTTTTATTAATGGCTTCTTGAGTTCCACAAAATGTTGCCAAAGTGCTTGGCAACATGTAGCTAGAATACATAACCATTTTAGAAGTTAAGAATTTTAATAACAAATAAAATAAATTAATAAATTTGCATTGCAGTATAAAAGAATGAATTTAATAATCTCCTAAAGTGCCTTAGTTTATATATGGACTGCCAATATTCTTAGATTTAATCTTTCCAAAGTAAAGTGCGAGCTTAGATTTTACGTTAAAAAGGCAACATGATTGGCCAAGACGAAAATTACCAATACCCAGTAAGGGATGGGATGCCATAGATAAGTGCGTAATCTTATGGGATACAAGATACCCGTATGAAAATTTTGACTGATAAATATTTAAACACTTACCCAACATTTATTGCTGCTGAGCCGGGAACAAGATTTGGAAACTATTAAACAAACCAATTTAGGGCAATTGGGTGGGGGGACAACAAAGGACGAAGGACGAACGACTTGGGGGCATCAGCAGCTGTTGTCCCGGCGAGCAAACAAATCTTTTGTCTTTTGTCCATTGCGGTTGCCGGGGTCACCGGCGAGGGTTGGTCAACCCTTTTGGGTTTCAGTTCGAGAGTTTCAGCAGTTGGACTGTCAAAAGTACATTTGCCTTGGTTACGCCACAGAAATATCCCCCAAGCATGTAATGACAATATCAGCAGGCCTTACCCCTCCCTCCATCCCGGAAAACCTCCTTTTGTATATCCCTTGTATCTTGCATATATATCCTTGCCCTCGGGGAGTTGGAAAACTCAAACTGGGGTGTTCCTTGAAACCGAGCGGAGTTTGTTGTGTTCCATTTTCATTTTGCGGCGTTGATGAAACTTTAATGACACTCCGCACGCATTCGAGGGGCAAAAGGCAACAGGGGCCATGTGTCCAGCTTCGTTTTTTGCCCCTCAATTTTTCTGCACAATTTCACTTTGAGGCAAACGAAGACAAAGCCGGCTAATGGCGGCTAATGAAGCCAGTTTTATTGGGGATTTTGTGGGCCGTTGAACCCGGCTGGCAGCACTCCCAAGTTGGCCCTAGTGTGTGAATGTATTTATGAGGCCCAGGCCCAGGTACTCAGGCATTCATACGTCAATGTCACGACTGCGGCAAGGACTCTCGACAAGGACTCTCCGGACGGAGTCGAGTGCAATGGCCAGCGGCCAAAGTCCGAGGACCAGCGGCCACGTGACCAAAAGTCCAACGCCACCTCGTCTCGCGTATGCAAATGAACAAAAAATTTGATGACAGCGTCGCCGGTGACAATGAAAAGTAAGCGAACTACGAAGCCAACAATCCGAGTGTTACGCAAAAAACAGAAAACAGCTAAAAAACAACAAACAAAAAAAAAACATTGCAGACCGACAAAAGGCGGCAGGATACAAATCCTTTCACAGGCCTGCCGAATATGCGCTCCGGCGAAAAAATTAAAACAAAGACATTGCAACAATTTGCATTCCCATTGTTTGCCTCGACGGCAGATACAAGTTCACAAAAAAACGACAGATAGTTAGATACATAGGTACACATGGCTACAGTGCGTTTCATAGTTGTCAGACCACTTAAAGAAAATACAAGACCAAGAACTTGAAATATACTTTTTTTTTAGATGAGAAATGAGACAAAAGTTTTTTTATGGTATTAATTTAATTACAGCAATCTATTTTTTCTACAGTTACAATTCTTAAAAACATTGTTTTTGAGACGCAGTGTACATTTTCCTATAAATAGCAAAGGAAGTCGGTCAGCCGGCAAGTTAGAGGAAGAAACGAGGCTCAAACATACATGGAAAGCGACGACAAGTGAAGTAGAGGATTGGATTAAAAGGACACCTGAAAATGGAGAGCGACAAAGACATTAGACTGACATAACAAAGTAAGATACAATCTACTTCTAACAAGGAATCAAAATTTTTTAGAGGATTCTTAGAGTTATTTTTAAAAATAAAAATCATCTTATTATTTTTTCTGTTATTAACAAATCAAAACTATGAGATGCAATAAAAGAAAAATTCAAAACAATGTATAATCTAAAGTTATTCAGAAACATACAAGTAAAATACAAATATTTTTAAAGTCAAAATTAACAAAAGAGGGTATAAAAAAGGGCGTTTAATAAAAAATTCATTCCAAAATTCCTCGGTGGCATTTTTGTTTCTCTTGGTGTTGTTGGCTACGGGAAGCATTTTGCATGAATTGCCCATAAAAATGATATGCACATCAAGATTGTCTGATGTGACTTTTGTGATAAGCGTGAAAATTTGCTTACTGGCACAGCTGACTCTTTATAAATTTTTTGGAAACTTGAAGGTGGAAGAAATCCTCACCGAACATACTTAACTCAACATGGCTAATCAAAAGGAATGATACTTGGCTAGACATTTAATTTGGCTACTGCAGCTAAAAGGTTTCCATCAGTCTCAGGCACGCCCTCCGCCCATTAACCAGTAGTTATCCCACCTCTTAACCATCACCTCTTAATCACCACCCCATTAACCGCCACCCATTAGGCACCACCCTTTATAAGCTGGGGTTTGGATTATAATTGTACTATTAGTGCACAGAGAAAAATAGTTCTATCAATTAGTTTATATTTTAAATTAAATATTTTGTATGTTAAATTGCATCTGTGAACTCAAAAACCATTACACAAATTTAATTTTATTATTACATTAAAATCAAGTATAAAAATATAATTTTGAGTGTTTCTAAGAGTTTCTCTTGTTGGATGGAATTGGAAGTTTAAACATTATGATTCTTGAAATGCTAAAGTGTTGCATGTCAATTTCTTATCCCTTTAAGCATTATTTATTTCATAAAAGCTAAGGTGATAAGGTTTTTCTCACTGCGTAGAAGCCTCCACATACTGGCATATTAATAGTCCACATTCCTTTTCCTTGGTCCCCAGTCCCCCATTTTCATTTTCCCAGATGTCATATGTCAGGCGGCAGTAATATTACGAGCTGATGACTGCGTTATGATTACTGTCAGCGGCAGGCACTCAATGAATAAGCAGATGAGAGAGTGTCAGCCTCCCACTTTGGTGTCCTTGCGGACTTATCACGCACTTTCCGCCCACAAAACCACGCACCACCCACTCAAGCCACCCACCACCCACTTAAGCCACCCACCACCCACCACATGTGACTTGAGGTGCCCCGCAGCGGCAACAACTTTGACTCGGCAACAATTTATCACAGCCAATTTAACCACTTAAGTGCGAAAAAGGTTTCAGTTCAGCAGACTAAAGTTCACATGGCTCAAAAGTGAAGTAAAGTGCATGTGAAATAACGTATTGAAAGAATTTTCAGCCTGGAATCTGGCCACTGACCACTGAATGTGTATCTTTTATTTGTTTACAATCTGTTTGCGCAAAAGCTGCCGCAAGGCTTAAAAATCTGCATTTGCATTCGGACACCAGCCGTGAATTGAGGGGCAGGAGGAAGGATTCGAGGTCCTTGCGCATATGCAAGGACTAATTGAAAAAGGCAGTTACCATAAACGAGCAGGTTTTCACATTTAATTGAAGTTATTTAAAAATTCGTATTATTCTTAAAATATATATGTATATTGATTAAAAACAACCGTTAACAGGTGGTTATGTTTTTCTGCGATATCAAAGAATTTGAGAATTTGATCTTGGATATGCATTGAAAAACATTTTAATTTACCAATCTGAAATTAACTGACTGAAAATTTAAAAAAATGAAAATCTACTATTCCTCTTTGTTTCAAGATCAATAGATCGTGCTCAAAAAAGTACTCAAATCACATTGAGGACCACGAAACTCCATTTCTGATAATTGAAATTTTCTCCACTCGCGAACGTTGTTCCCCTGGGTAAAATATTCTTAGCCAATTCCTTCGGGTTCCATTCTTAAACAACTGATACATTAAGTCATTTATATTGTAATCGCACATTTAAATTAGTTTTTTATTTCTCTCAGGGGAATAACGCAAACGTTTCAGGTTCATTGCTCTTGATTTTAAAATTCAGCTGGTCTCGAAAAAGGTTATTTAATTCTGTGTTTCCGACCAACGGCAGTCAGTCGAGATCGGCTCTCCGTGGAACAGCTTCCTTCGTCTAAAAAACGGCTGATTTTGAAATAGTTTCGTACAGTTCA